CCTCCACAGATCCGCAAGGCATCCCTCCCCATCTCGGGCCTGGCCTCCGCCTCTGCCCCACCCATCTCCCAGCACTGCCCCCTGCTGCACCTAGCTGATGACAACCTGGCCGAGGATGGGGGACACTCCGCCCCCAATGGGGTGCACCGGCGGGCAGCCACGCTCTACAGCCAGTTCACCCCCAGGACCGAGGAGAACCGGTATGCTGTCGGGAACCCGAGACGCGTCGAGTCTCCGATAGGAGGGAGCGCTGGGATCTACAGCAGCTCCCACCCACAGACTGTCTGCTCCTGACGGTGTGGTTATAATGGGTTGGTGGGAAATGAAGGGTCACCAGGTCACCGCATGTCAGCTGTGTGCTCTCGCGGTCACAGGTCGTACGAGGGCGTCCTCTTAAAGCGGGGGGCCCTGCTGAAGGGCTGGAAGCCGCGGTGGTTCGTGCTGGACGTCACTAAGCATCAGGTGGGGAGGATTCCACCTCCGGACAGCTTGCTGTGGGTGGGGTGAAGACAGTAACATTGGGCTGAACACTGTGGGGATCGAGGTCTCTACCCATTTGTGATATGGGGGAGGGGGGAGTTGTATTGACCAGTTTTGATTATTGGGAGGGGGGGTTAATTTACGCCCGTTTGGGGGGCGCTGATGGTCCTTTGCGGTGCCGAGCAGATGCGGTATTACGACACGGGCGAGGACACGACCTGCAGGGGCCACATTGACCTGGCGGAGGTGGAGTCTGTCCTGATGGCCACGCCCACCATGGGGGCACCCAAGCACATCAGCGAGAAGGCCTTCTTCGACGTGAGGCCCCGCCCCCAGCCCTGCTCCGCTTATTTGCTGTCATTTGCATAGACAGTCTCTGAGACAGTCTCTGTCGTTTCAGCTGAAGACCACCAGGCGCACCTACAACTTCTGCGCCGCGGATGCGTCTAGTGCCCAGCAGTGGGTGGATCGCATTCAGACGTGCATCTCAGATGCATAACCCGTCCCTCCCGTCACAGCGCCGGAGGGAGCACTGGCGCCCCCCAGTGCAGATGGGTGGATGGCGCAGGCTGCTACTCTCCCTATATGACTGAACACACAGGGGACAGAGACCAGTATTAGCTATTAGCTATCATCTGCTGCTTACAGATACAATAAGAATGAAGCAGCTGGTTAAGAATGCATTAAACAACAATGTGGTTATTTGCACTTAAACGTAACATATGCATCCCTTATAATAACACCAGCAAGACCAAGCTATATCGTTTGATTAAGCATTTATATGACCATTCAGGGCAGAGGTATAATTTGCACACTAAAGCTCAGCATATCGCTTTAATTCCATAACTACTACCCAAAAAAAATATGCAAATTCCACATTAACCTTTAGCGGCTCAGCTTTGAAGTGGTGATTTGTTTACATACTGTGTTGTCTCTTATCTGTGTCAGGGCTCGGTGAAGAGTTTTCATGTTTTTTAAAACCACGTATGTAAATATCCTGTTCGGGGGCATTTTATACTTTTTACATACGTGTATCGAAACACTTATTTTTCCCTAACTGTAGCTGAAAAGAGACGGACTACTTTGTAATGCCTCATGCTGACACAGTTTCTCACTCACTGAGACCCACGCAGGCTTGTTTTCCTCCAAAATCAAAGCCCGGTCTTTCCCCGCAACCTTTCTCAAAAAGTAAGCAGCCAGCCCATAACTGGGTGAAATGATTTATCACGCCTCCAGTTGTTACGGCCTTTCAGTGACAGCACTGACATAATCGGGATATCACGTCCGAAGTCCTCGAAGTGCCTGAACTCCCCGCTTGAGGCTGCGTTGTTAGGGGAAGGTGTTGTAAAATTTTTTAAAAATATAGCAACAGACTTCAGTCATGTGGGCCTGACAGCCTGTCATTGCTCTAAAACAGCCAACTCTTTTGCCAAAAGTGAGACTATTAAATAAACCAGCGTGTCTTGTTCTCTGTTGTCTTTATTTTTGTCACTCAAACACGAGACTCTTTGTAAACCCCCCTTCCCCGGCGCCCCCGTCTCTGTGACCTGCCTGGTATCTGCCTGACCTCCACATCACTGTCAGACCAGGCCGGCTATCGATCATGTATCAAAAGCACAGAACAATGCCAAGCCAAAATACGCCCACCTTTGCTTCTTTTAGCCTTGAGTTTCACAACAAAACATAAACAGCACGTTGCCAGGACTGAGATAAAAGCCACACTGTCGATGATTAATTCTCGTTTTTTTTTTTTAATCCTCGCTGAAGTTTGGCGGCTTAGCCTTCAGCCACGTTTCACCCTCAGTTCATACTTTTAATTAAAAACCACCAGGTTCACCAGCGCCGATTCAGTCCCATCATGCTCCTCTGCCCGATGGCGAGGGCGCCGCCCTCAACACGAGCCGGCGTCACGCTCTCAGCTTTCGCCTGTCATCAACACGGAGACGCCAAACCGTGCGGCCTCGTCGGGAGGGGGGCCGGAGATGAGGTCAGTCCGTAAAAAGGCTCGTACTGAAGATAACAGGTAACGTTAGTCCAGGCGTGGTTAAAATAATTCTGGGAGCCGCCCCTAATGTCACAGTTTAAACTGTAAGTCTTCTACTCAATAGTTATTACTCTGTTGATCCTAACGCTAGTAAACAGCACAATTAAATCCCATGATCATTACAAAAATTCCCAGTATTCTCAACATGTAACCAAACCGTACTGCACAAAATAGACACTGAAGGTTCTCTATGTGACCCTACCTCCCTTTCCCTGTTCGTATCCCGCAGTGGGTGGGATAAAGGTTGTCATTCACAGCTTTAACCCCAGTGCTTATTGGCTGCCATTGGGTTGAAGGTGGCAGTGATTGGCGGTGTCGGTGATCCTGCCCACTGCAGTTTAAAGCATCATTTCTCCCATCACTGCGAAGGAGGACTTCTCTGCAGCATGCTTGAGCAGTGAGGGTCAGCCAGTGCTGAGATACAGTCACCTGTAGGACATCCACCCCTTTTCTGAAATGCAGTTTCAGTGCAGTCGAGATGAGTCACCGCTCTGGATGATCATGTCCATGATGTGCCCTGTGCTGTTCCTGATCTCCATCCATCTGCATGGCCCTGACCTGGATAAGCGGTTAGAAGATGAATGGATGCATGCAGATAAATGGATGATGAAAATAAATATGAATGGGGGGGGGGGCAAGGCGAAGACCCCCCTCCATCATCAGACCCCCCATCCCCGCGAATCTCCATCGGCCAGGCTGTTTCGATGACCATCTGGAGGGGGATGATAGGCCTAATGAAACGCCTGTGGATGGAGGTGAAGGGGGGGGGGGGTGTTTCTGTCTCATGCAGGAATGCTGGGGTCTGCGGCTGGAGGTTGCCCCCTCCCCCCCCAGGCCTTTCATTTGGCCTATCATCCCCCTCCAGATGGTCATCGAAACAGCCTGGCCGATGGAGATTCGCGGGGATGGGGGGTCTGATGATGGAGGGGGGTCTTCGCCTTGCCCCCCCCCCCATTCATATTTATTTTCATCATCCATTTATCTGCATGCATCCATTCATCTTCTAACCGCTTATCCAGGTCAGGGCCATGCAGATGGATGGAGATCAGGAACAGCACAGGGCACATCATGGACATGATCATCCAGAGCGGTGACTCATCTCGACTGCACTGAAACTGCATTTCAGAAAAGGGGTGGATGTCCTACAGGTGACTGTATCTCAGCACTGGCTGACCCTCACTGCTCAAGCATG